CTCCCCCTGAATTCATTTCCTACCCTAAAGCGTCGGTTTGTACCTGCCGGGTTTGGAACGGTCGCAGGCAGGGGTGCGGATGAAGTACTCGTCAGCGTGGCGGCTGCTTTTCACCAGCGTCTCCCTGAGGGGCGGTTCCGGCTTTGGGCGCCGCAGGCACAAATACCGGGGGAGTTTGTGGATAAAGATCTAGAGAAGCAGCAAGAGAACACTCCTCTATTTATTCTCTTCTTAATCTGACTAATAACCAGAGCTTTCTGGACAGAAGACAGAGCTTTAAAATAATGCAGTTGTAAAATAAAAAGTGTAAATAGAAAGTAAGAACAGTGGGGTACATAAAAAACATCACATAGGATAGAATAGAGTCCAGAGCAGATGAGGGAGTCAAAAAAGTCAAGATGGCAGATGCAATGGACATGAAAAAGGGGCAGAGCTCCAGTCGCGTGGTTTCAGCTGCCATCTTGACTGTTTGCCCCACCCCGCCCCACCCCACGATCCTGTTGTTATACCTCTGTTGATGCAGCCCAAGATCGCACTGGCTCTTTTGGCAGCTGCAGCCCGCTTCTGGCTCAGGCTTAACGCACGGCCCGCCAGGGCACCCAGATCCTACTCCCAAGTCAGGGGGCTCGCTTTGGATGCAGGACAGGGAATCTGTGGAGCGGGAGTGGCTCTCCTGCTGTCCTGCGCTCTTCACACTGGATTTCGATAGAGGCTAAATCATAGATCGAGCCATCGGTCGAAATCCTCCATCAACGGCTGGAGGATTGTATTGGCAGGGAGACACCAAGTGTTAGGCTGGTCTGATCTATGTGATGGCTTGAGGATGGGCGGAGGGCCCACGAGTCCCCCAGAGGGGATGGCCGGAAGGGCCCTTTCCAAGGGGCCGAGGCCTGCCAGGTCGAGGGAACTGGGCTGCCAGAAGAGCTGAGCTCCCGTCTCCCCCGCATGACGGCGGAGGGAAGTCTCAAACCCCAGGATGGGTTCCCAGGTCAGTCTGGTGGAAAAGCAGGAAGGCCCTCTCGCCCCCTTTACCTGCCTCACCCAGAAGGGCATCTTGTAGGAACTGGGTGAGCGATGGTGAATGTTGAGGACCACCACGCTGAAGATGACAGAGAAAGTCACCAAGATCATTGTGAACGTGAGGTATTTGATGATGATCGGCACTGCCAGGGACGTCTCTGGGACCTTTTTGGCCAACAGGAGCAAGAAGACGGTGAGGGTGAGGAGCGCGAAGATGGAGAGGGTCATCTTCTCACCTGGTTCAAGCGGGAGGGGAAGTCAGGCTCGGCCAAGGCCCCCTTCCCAGGCAGAGACAGGGGCCCAGAGCCCGAGTCCGCAGCTCAAAGGCAGGGCTGGTCTGGGCCCCTGCCAAGAGCCGCAGGCAGAAGGAAACCATCTGCGCTCCCCAGGAACGAGGACCGCTTCCAAACGGCAGCGACCTCTCCAGGAAGCCCCCGGTTCAGTTCACAGGAGACGTCCCCTTCTACCCCACGAGGAGGCATTGTGAGAGGGCAAGTTACGGACCCCTTCCTTTGGTCCTCGGGGGGCAGGAAGCGGGGGCAAATTACACCAGGATTCCCGTAAAGACGGGGAGCCCGTGAGACGCCTGGTGGCCCTTCGCCTTGAAAAGGTGGGACGAGGCGCAGCCCTTGAGGAAACCGACGGTCCGGCGGTTCCCCCCGCCACCTTCCCACAAGCACTGTTCCAGCGGCTTCCTGGTTTGGGCCCCCCTCTGCAGGGGGCCAACTCTGCCCCAAGGGGCCCGGGAGGAAGCCCCCGGAGAGCAAGACTGCCGGAGACTGGCCTGAGTTGAGGTGAACTTTGGGAGGACTGGGGGACCCTTTTTGCTCACTGCCCTGTGGATGCCCACGCTCCCCCGCCCGGCAGAAGGAAGTCCCAGCAATAGGAAGGGGTGGCATGAGGGGGCATTGAGGGCACCAGGAAGGAGACGGTATTGCGCCATTTCAAGGGAATGAGCTCCAAGGGAAGATGCCCCCCACGAAAGCCCCAGAGGCCCCTCGCGGTGGCTCACCAGCATCCGGCGGGAGATAAAAGACGAAGATGGCCAGGATGGTGATCAGGATACAGGGAATGATGACGTTGATGAGGTAGAAGAGCGGCTTCCGGCGGATGATGAGGTAGAAGGTGATGTCCTCGTAGAGCGGGTCCTCCGGGTGGGTGTTCTTGCGGGCCGGTTTGTGCAGGATCTCCCACTGCCCGTTGTCTGCGGAGAGAAGGACAGAAGGACGTCCGGAAGGAAGGCCCGCGACCCCCGCCGGCCTCTCCTCCAGTGGCGCCGGGGGCTTCCCTCGTGGCTCCCCAGCCACCCGTCTTCTTGAGCGGGGTGAGGAAGGACCCCAAGAGACGGAGCTGGACAGAGCGGCGGAGCTCCTGTCTGGACGGGGCAGAAGGCGGTCCGGAGAGGGGAAGGTGGTCTCCGGGGAAGGGGCAGGATTTTGTGGCAAGTCCTGGATCGGATTGGCTCGGATAGAAGGCAGCAGGGTCTTTGGAAGCCTTGCCCCAAATCTCTTTTACGGTGGCGTAAGAAACAATACGGACATCTTGATTTGGGGCCGGGAGGTCAAAAAAGTCAAGATGGCCGCTGCCACGGCGCAGTCACAACCTGTCCTTTTTTTACAGGCATTGCAGGGCTTCAGCCGCAAGATGGCAGCTGACACCTTGACTCTTTCTACCCTCCCCACGGACACCCGCGACTTGAAGGAGACTTCGTGAAAAAGAAAAAAGAGAGAGCGGAGCAAACATGCATTAACTGCATGCTGAGGGTGGGGCGCCTATGAAATGTTCGGGGTTTGCATGACCATAAACGAAGCTGGGTTTGCCCAGCGGACAGGCGAGCCCCGCCCCATCGCAGGCGCTGACCCGCAGGCACCTCACCAATAAAGGTGTTTTCATATATGTGGATCTCCTTCACCTCCTGCCCGTCCTCGTCGACGGGGTGCAGAAGGGTGATCTCCGAGGCGTCGTAAGTGTACGACCGGAAGACCATGGTGCAGTTTTGCCAGTCAAACGGGAAATAGGTCACCTGTGGTCCCACAAAGAACAAGAGACAGAAGCAGCAAGTATCTGCCCCCTAAGCCTTTAATGACATCTTGCTTGATTAAACACTTCCCCGTTCCCGACGCGAGGGCGCCTTGCACAGGGAGATATTCTCTGCACCTGTGCGTGGTGAGTTGGCACCGATCGCTTGCCCGTGAGGGGTAAACTTATAAGCCCCTTCAGAGCTGCTTTTCTCAGCCTCCCCCCTTCCATGATGGGTTGGACTACAAACCCCATCAGGCAGAGAGAACCAAAGGCTGGGGCAGAGCCTAACCTGGATGCTGCAGCTGGTCCGATAAAGGGCCGGGGGCTGCCAGCGGACCCTCCCGTCGTGGCGCACGAGGACGTTCCCGCTGAGAGCAATTCCAAAGACACCATCATTGCTGGACGGGAGGAGAGAAGACGGGGAAACGGGTTTGGCCTTCCGCAGAAAGAGCCATGCTCAAAAACCTCATCAGAGCAGCGAAGCCTTAAAGTGGGCAGCTTCAGACTTAAGTTAATTGAATTCAGCTGAAATGGGGAAAAAATCACTAAAATGTGTACTCTTTTCTGCTTTCCACCTGCAAGGTGTCCGTGGGTTTTCCATCAAATAGAAAAAATAGAAAATAGAAACCAGGAGGCTGTGAGTTCTAGTTCCGCCTGAGGCATGAAAGCTGGTTGGGTGACTTTGGGCCAGTCCTGCTCTCTCAGCCCAGCCCACCTCACGGGGGTGTTGTTGCAGGGACAATGGGAGGAGGGAGGAGTATCAGGTCTGTTCCCTGCCTTGAGTTATTTATAAAAATAAGAAAGGCGGATTAAAAAAATCTAAAAAAAAGTATGAATTCCATTCATTTATTAATAAACCTCCCTTCATTCACGAATAAATCTTTCATTCATTTATTCGTTCATTCATCTGACTGGCACACTACCAAATCCTGTAAGGTTTTGGCTGCTGGAGGGGGCTTAAGAAGGGCCAGACTTGGGTGTCCATTTTTGGCACCTTTAGGGAGAGATGGGCTGCAATTCAGACCCTTTGCAGTGGACCATCGAAAAGAAGGGGGGGGTTAGAGGGTGACACTGTGACCCCCACCATGCAGATTTGGACCACCCCTGTGCACGGGCCTTAGCCGACTCAGTGGTGGTCATCCTCCTCTGCCCCTGCTGGTCCCCAGACTTCCACGCAAGGCCAGAGAGGCTCCCTCTGTTCCCCTCTCAGCAGTGGGGGAAAACCCTCCAGCTGAACCCCCCCGTCCCACCCCTTGGTGGTCGCCCAGGCCAGCATCAAGGTCCTGGTCCTCAGGGCTGCTCACTTGTTCATGAGAACAACCTCAGGGAGCCACACTTCCTCTGCATAGAGTCGGATGGAGGTGATCCCCTCAAACTCAGCCGGATCCCAGGTGAGCCGATAGTCGATCCACTCCTGAGAGAGAAAGGGAGGTCCCACGAGGAAGACGACAGAATAATCCGGCAGAAAAAAGGAAAAATCACAGCTTGGCCAATAAGGTCAGTTAACAGAAAGCTAGGACAGGAAGGCCTGGCGCAATATGGTTCATGGGGTCACGAAGAGTCGGACACGACTTAACGACTAAACAACCACAACAACAAACAGAAAGCTGCATGAGATCGGCTGCCCTGGAGCTCTGCCCCTCTCTCCCGGCTCTTTGTGGGCCACATCCTTCCTGCTACAGGCCCAGATGCCCTCCCGACAATCTCTGTACAGGTGGGCTTGAACCCAGGTCTCTCCCTTCCTCTGCCCCCCTCCCCACCCTGGAGAGCTGCTCTCTCCTCCTCCAGCTTCTGAGCTTGTCCATCGAGCAAAACCGCCCCATGTTTGTTTGGCCCTCTGCAACCAGGAGCTCGAGAAAACCATCGTCGCTTTCCTAATGCTGTGGTAGAGGCAGGAGTGTCCACAGGGGGCGAAAAAGTCAAGATGGCCACAGCCACTGCAGGCCTGAAGGCTCACACCTGGGTGGTGTGTAAAAAAAGGGATGGGCTGTGGTCCCCTGGACAGTTTTCTCGACCCCTCTGGACATCCCTGGGCAGAGGCCAGCGACTTCCACAAATGCTTCGTCCAATAAGGGCACCCATCTCCCCCAGCAGCCTGCAAATGTGGCGCACGCAAGTCCTTCCTCTTTAGCCCAGGCATCTCACTCGTAGCACCCAGAAAAAACTCAGGAAACGCAAAGTCTCTGGAGGAAGCCCCTGCCAGGTTAAGGCACCCCCTACCACCATCACCTCTGCTTCCAGCTTGAGAGGAGAAAGCCTGCTAGATCTGCTTTAAATATATCCTTAATTCCTTAGCAAGACAGGTTTGGGCTGGGTGGCTGTATGAGAAAGAGGGCCGTCTTTAAACCCGAGTCTGGCCTCGTGGCCATCACAACAGGGCCGGGGGGAGAAAGAAGTCCATGCTCTGGGGATGTGCTGTGAGAAAAAGACCCTCTTTCCTTTGGCAGACCAAACATCAGTGCTTGCGGAAGGCAGCCTTTTTTTACTCACCTTATCCATGTACACTTTGACGGTCAGCTCTTCATCTTTTTCATTCTAAGGAGAAGAAAACGGCAAAGATGCCTCGTGTGTCTTTTCGTGCTTTCTAGAGCGTCCGCACTGGGGGACTTCCAACATTCTGGCCGAAAGAGAAAAACTCCCTCCCGGGAAGAGCCGGCAACTGAGAGAGGTGCTGGGCCCCTCTGCGGTGGATGGGTTCAGGCCAAGGGTGGATATCTGGACCCCCGCATTGAGCAGGGGGTTGATTCGATGGCCTCGAGGACCCCCTCCCACTCTAAGGCTCTAGTCTTCAGCCAGCCTCTTGCTGTGCAGCACCTCTGGGCGGTGCCGGTCCTGGGAAGGGAAGGGACCCCACGCTTGGATAAAAGAGGGAGGCTTCTTGGTGGAGGCTCCCCCTTGGGGATCTCTCCCTTGGGAAATGCAGAAGGTTCCCACTCTTTTCCTTTTGAAGCCCATCTGGGTTTCCCTGGCATGATTTCATTCTTCTCAGTTATGCTATTTGCAACTGTATTGCGGTGACTCCCAACCTGGCCCCCGTTCCTTAGAAGAGGCAGGGCAGGCGAGGACCCTGCGCAGGCGGCCATCGCTGAGTGGCCGGGAGCTTTATCCCAGGAGGAAAAGAAGGGAGGGCCGCCCGAGCCAGCAAACGGCACGGAGCTGCCTGGGACTGCACCGCAGCCCCTCCAAGGTCAGGAGTCAGGGCCGGCTTAGCCCCTGTCCTGCCCAGCCCCGTCCATCCGGACCGGGGGCAGGAGCCCTCTTGCTGTCCGCGGGGTTTTCCCCGGCCGGCCGGAGGAGGAAAACGTTTCCGGAAAGGCCCCAGTCCCCAACAGGCGGGAGGGGGCATCAGCTGCAGCCGGACGGGAGTGGACAAAGAGCTATTAATAGCCTGCCTGCTCAGCTGTTGCCGCTCCCCTGAGCCCCTCGCAGGGCCGGCACCAAGCGAGCAAAGCCGCCCGGCCGACGGGCGCCGCCGCGCGCAGCGGCTTCCCAAGGCGCGTCGAGCAGACTTGTGGGGACGCGGCTCCCGTGCCGGCCAGCCCCGGCGACGCAGAAGCTGCCTGCGCCCAGGAGCCACCCCCCCCATCCCCGTCTCAGACCCTCGGGATTAAATGCTGCG